GGTGATAACACTGCTCATACTATGATAAGTCTTGGTTATCTAGGGTTGACACGGCTCCTACGTGATGAGGAGATCCGGTCAGGGGATGACACTGCTCATACTATGATGAGTCTTGGCCATCTAGGAAGGGTGATAACACTGCTCATACTATGATAAATCTTGGTTATCTAGGGTTGACACTGCTCATATGCGATGAGTCTTGGCCATATAAAGGTGATAACACGGTTCCTACGTGATGAGGACGGCTAGTTATCAGGGGTTGACACTGCTCATATGCGATGAGTCTTGGTCAGGGAATTTGGTTTCAAAAGAAATCGATTTAGAGATGATTTTTCAAAAGAAGTCGTCTCAAAAAATACAAAATTTTGTTTCCTAAGAAATAAACTCAAAGATTTTTTATGTCTCAATTGAGACAAAATTTGTTTTGAAAGAAAATTGTCTTAAGCGAGACAACATTTTGTTTCAAGAGAAACAACATCAAATGATATTGATAGTATGTTTGTTCCTGTTGGTGGAGGAAATACCTTTAGAAGATCTGATAGCTCGTATCAGGATGTTGAATCCCCAAAGATGCCCCAATATTCGATGTTGATTGCCTCAAAGATGCTCAAATATTCAATGTTGATTGCCTCAAAGATTCTCCAATATTCAATGTTGATTGCCTCAACACTGATTTTAAACATGAGATTTATGTCTGAGAGCCACATGTCAAATACCAAGATCCACTCCAGAGAAATTGTATTGTTTGTAAAGTGTTTTTCTTTTATTTTCAACAGTCTGAAAATATCAATTTGAAGATTTTTGAAAAAATGTTTAATCAAAGATTTTGAAAATATTGCCCCTTCCTAGGTTTTACAATTGAGACAAATCATAAAACTAGAGTTCATTTGATATCAAAGAATTAATTACATTGTTAATCCTTCAATAAATTATAGCTATTTGACAAGTGTCAAGATCAAAGCTATCTTTGGGAAATGGTTAAGTAAGGAAAGGATAAAAAATCTCAGGTTATTGTGTTTGGTCAAAGGTTTGACATTCTTGTTTCTTTGATGTTCACTTGATTTGATGGGGTAGTTTGTATGCTCCTCTACTGGAAGTGTTCTCCGACTCCCAATTCTCATGGTCACACTCAGATTGTGCGATGCCCTATCAAGGAATTTGTATATTCGAGCCGTCTTTTCAGGTTTTCAACTCGAATCCTCCTTTGGTTTCAAGACGTTATTCAGAATTTACGTCTTGAACCTCCTTTTGTTTTTTCTCTATCATGCATTAAAGATTTTAGAAAACCATTTGCAAATAAAGATTAATCCTGATGTGCGGGATGAAGTCAAAAGATAGTCTCTTCTGTTTAGAAATCCATGTATGATTAGAAGGAACTTTTAAGGCACGTAATGTAGGCCATGGTTCATGGTTATGAAAGAAATGGATAAATAGCCCCAAAAAGGTTTTTAAGGGTTATTGAACCAATGATCAATTCATTCTGATGCCTTCAATCTTGTATTGCTCAATTTGAATATGCTCGTATGCGTTCCTCTCTTAATGCTCTATGATCTTCGAGTGAAGTAGTTCTAGAACGATTGTGCTTATCAATCTCATGGTTTGAAGCTTGATGCGCCATTTAACTTGAGGTAATCTTTTCATGGGTTTCTTGTCCCCTTTTCTTTATTTATTTTCTTTTATTTATTTTCTTTGTTTTTCTCACTTTGCTCTTTATTTTCTTTTTCTTTGCTTCTTTTCTCTTTGTTCTGATTGGATCTTCGAGCTTGGTATTTGGTTCACCTTTCGATATCTCATCTGAATCAATGTCTTTACTCATACGAGCAAATTTCCTCCACCTTGCCCCTCAGTTTGGAGGGTGATCCTTGGTTAGGGTTGAATCAGAAGAAAATATGATTTAGGCTCAAAGGGGACACAATGGATAGATATTTTCTCCTTTTGTGAAGGGATAAAGAAAGAAAGTCGTTCATCATTGCATACATTAAAATCCTCGCAAAAAAGGTATCTAGGATAGATTTTTAGGATTAATTTTATTCATGAAAAAAATGTAATTAATACATGATAGAATTAATTGTATTTTCTGCTTCTTGCTCCCATCAAAGTTTGTCCAAAAAATTGGCTCCCTTTGCCCCAGCTTCGATCTTGAGCTTCGGAGAGATATTTTTTGAATTCCAAGATATGCTTCCAAAGAACTTATCTTGTTTGAAAATGTTTTTCTTCCTTTGGATTTTCAAAATTTTGAAAAATATCAAAAGAGTTTTAAAAAAATATTCCTCCTTCTAAGTTTCACAATTGAAACAAATCATAAACAAGACTTCATTAAATATCAAAAGAATCGACTGCTCTTTTAATCATTGATAACTGCAAATCTTTGACAAATATAAGATCAAAAAGGTTGGTTCAGAGGTTGGCTACTTAAATTCTAGGATTTGTTTCATTGATTCAGTCACCTTGAAGATTATGGCATGACCCTCTTTCTTGGTTTGGCATTTTGATTGCAGGCAGACAAAATGACACACCTAGCATAGTCAATTGCTAGACCTTTCAGAACACTTTTGTTTTAGTTCTCTAAAATCTTCCATTTGTTCAAGCTTCGTAGACTCCTCTAGTCAAGGTAGTACAGAAATATCGATCTAAAAATGAGACTTCTGAGTGCTCGTGTGAAGTCGACTATAACAGGTGTTCCTCAAATCCCTTAGTCCATATTCACGAAACTCCTTATTTAGTAAATTTAATTTGATTTTCCATTGTCTGGCTAGCTGAATATTATCCATAAAGCCAGGGCATTTAACCAATTGCTCTACAGGGACAACTCAAGCTTTATTGTATATATATTATAATCACCTTTATTAGGCTAACTGAAGGATTCATGTTGTCACAAAGTCTTTAACTTGACAACCACAGTGGAGCATACACTGAATTGCCAAGTACCCGATCAATGTCATGGTTTGAATATAATCTATTCATAAAGCTAGGGCTTTTGAGTTTCCCCTATAACCAATTGCTTTAGAGGAATAGCTCAACTTTATTGTATACATATATATGCTATTTTTTTTAGTATACGGATTCTACTTCTTAAGCTTGTTGAGGAGAACCTGTTATAGTCCTGGTGTTTGTTAAAGGTCAGAAAATCTCATTGTTAGAGTTCAATTACCAAGTAACTAACCTAAACTAGATTCACCCACTCGACCATTCCATCTGAGAAGATCATGATCATCATTAAACGTCATCAACAGAAGTAGAACCAATTAGCTTTGTAATCTCATATGTCATTTGCCCATTTTGTCTGCTCCTGACCCATACCTGAATGTCAAACCTTTGATTGACACTTTATGTAAAGAGAAAACTAGCTCGGTCCCTCCAAGAGAAGGGTATATATTTTGGTGTATCTCTGGAGTAGGATCAAGGGGTCTTTCTTTTGCAAGATTCAATTTCGTCATTTGTCAAAGATTTACAACCTCAATTATTAAAAAGTTTTTAATTAAAATGATATTCAAAGAATTTCTAGATTGAAATTTGCTCATTATTCTTTTCCTAAGAAGGAATCATTTTATTGGAAATGTTTGAACGTCAAATGACTTACAAACATTCATACATAAGAAGCACAAAAGAAAAACAAGTTCAAACAAGATGATGTGCATGAGAATGAAACAAAAACTACTGATGGATGCCCTAGCCGACTCCCGATCAAAATGCCCCATTACACATTGAACGTTAATGCCCCTGAATCGATCAGATCTTGGACCTTGCGCTTCAATGTCCCACAGTTCTCAGTGATGTGCCCTGATCTCCCAATAAGATAGTTGCATATGGAGTTAATATCATGACCTTCAGGATATGAGGCCTCTCTTGGTTTGGATTGAACTGGAGTTACAAGGTTCTGCTCAACTAGCGTTGGGAGCAATTCTCATACGTCATTGTGATTGGATTAATGCGAGAATTCCCCAGGAGGTTTATTCTGGTAAGAAGGTTTATGTTCAAGTGAACATCTTACTCAATGACTTTAGGTTTTATTGGTAGAAAAAATGTTGGTGTGATTTTATTGGCTCAAATAATGGTATATGTATGGCTTCATGTGTCATGAAAGGATGAAAATAATGTTTCAAAATCTCAAAGAAAAATAATGTCAAAATTTGGTCATTTGGTAGTGGCCATGAATTATTTCGGGTAAAGAATCAAGATATTTTTTTTGTTTTAGATGGGATAAGAAAAGTTTAATCTTGTCATATGTCAAAAATCTATAATTCTTGAAGAATTAAAAGAATCTGTAATTCATTTGATATTCAAAGGACTAAAGATTTAAAAATCACTCAATTGTTTAACCTTAGAAGGTAGCATAAGTTCAGTTGTTTAAAAGATTAAACAAATATAAAAGACATAACAAAAACGATTTCAAGCAAAATAATGCTCTCAATGCAATGTGGTAGATGGCATGCCCCCATCCTTTTTCGATTGTCCATGCCCCTGAATCCATCAGGTTCTGGATCTTACGCTTTAGTGCCTTACAGTTCTCAGAGGAATGTCTAGAGCTTCCTATATGGTAACTGTACAAGAGATTAACATCGTAGCCCTCGGGATATGGGGACTCTTTTTTTTCTAGATCATTCTGGAAGCCTCAGTCCTACAACCAGTTGAACAAGCTCCAACTGTACTGATTTTAACTTCTTGTTTCCATGTGGTATCACGTGGTTAGAACCATTTCATCGAATCCTCCCCAGATTAATTACATGTTTTTTATAAATGATGTATGTAAGAATGCTTGAATGAATGCAATGTAGAATGCGAACGCAAAAGGTATCGATTTCCAAAAGTAATCATTCTTAGAAAGAGTTTTATTTATCCAAAAGAGTTTTCATCTTTACAAGAGAGATCAATCTACGAATGTGATTTGGCCCTTTTCTTTAGCTCCATGATCTCAATCATGACCCCAATAACTTTCTCTTCATTCCATAAATGACTCTGAATCAAGACATTGAGTAGTTGATTACAGCCTCTGAATCGACTTCCCTTCAATCTACGACATTTATTTAAGGATCAGAAGGTCTCTATCAAGATAGTCGGTGCAAGATTTATACCTCTATCCAACTTCTCAAAGAAATCTTCTTGAGACAATGTCATAAAAAGACACTTGCTTTTGTTGGATGTGCTCTTCTATTCAATCTTCAACTTTACTTGTAATCTTCACAAGCTTGCTTTTGAAGGATTGGACTTTCGGAAGTCTGGAATGAATTTTATCCACATGGAGACTCTCGAAATTGAATAGAGCAGTATACTCTTCTATTGTTGGTGTTAAATCTTGTCTTTTGAAAGTGAAGCAATTGTATACGGAATTCCAGCATCAGACCAGAGCTTTAAGCAACGACTCATCTATCTTTACGCAGAGGAGATAAACCATGTCACTATATTTCTTGTGAAATTTCTTTGGTAGCTTCTTCCCAAATCTCTATCAGCTCTTGTAGATTATTCCTCTTGACATTGACATCTGTAGACATCTGTGAGACGTAATCTCCAGGCAAACTATCTCCTTTTTCCCTTTGTGTTTCTTCAGACTAAGCTCGAACCGCCGGATCATGTTTTTCCTTATTATGAAAACTCTTTTTCATTTTAATGGTCACTCTTCTAATATGATGATCTTGATTAATCAACACCTTTCTTTTATTTATGATGATCGTGCAGAATGTGAAGATGCAAATGCAGATGCAAAAGTGATGATACGCTGAAATACAATGCATTATGCAGAATGCGAAGATGCAAAACTGATGATCCTCTTAAATACGATGCATCAAAGGACGAAAAATGACACAAACAAAAGAAACAAGATAAGTTAGTGTGGTCAAAATAATCAATAAAATTAAAAGATTCTATTTAAAGATAAATATAACACCTACTCAATCATTATATCTACCCAAGCATGCTTTTATTAGATAGCGATGCTACCCAAACATGCTTTCTACCCAAAATAATTATTTTCAATGAAATGATCCTAACCGCATGGTATCTAGTTCGCATGCTTTTATTCGAAAAGAAAATTTAAAGCAAAAAAGAAAGGTTCAGAAACACTTCTCCTTTGTGTATACTTAATTTGGGTACCTACTGACGGACAGAGATTCGATATGACTATATCTAGAGTGACTATTCTAAGGCTCACTATATGCATGGTTTTGGCTCTAACGGAAAAAAAAGGTACTTGAATTGTCCTTAATGTCGGTTCCCCCTTAGGCTACCAAACCCTCAATCCTGACCCATTACAAGTTCGTGTGGATCGAGTTCAATTCGAGAGGATACATTCCCTTATGTCCATACGGAGAAACAATTTATCTCACGTAGACATAAGGTATATGAACCCCAAAGATTACTTGCTAAAACCCGTACGGAGAAATAAATTATCTCACGTAGGCTATGCTTTCACCTCAACTTAAAAGGGACAAAGCTCATAAGTGAGCTTATGATATGTAAATGCACGTGTTGTGTGTGAGGAGAAACTCACAAACCTTTAAACATGATAAAATATGAAACTTTCACAAGTTCTAAAAATATGTTTAAATCTGAAGACCACTAAAAAAACGATTAGTTAAAAGTAGGATAAGGCATGATATGTTGAAACCCATAATAAATAAAAGGATCAAAAATTAAATACACTTTAAGTTTGTAATTCCCAAATACAAAACAATGTATAATCGTTCACGGCCTGACTCTCGAAGTCCCTAGTAAAGTTGCCAAGCTGTCATAACCTTTTTTTAGGAAACAATTATTTATTGTTTTAAAAACGATTATTTATTGTTTTAAAAACGATTATTATTTTAATTTTGGAAAAATTGGTGATTTTGAATTAAATTGGATAGAGTCGCCATCAACCTTTGGATTAGGTAGGTCGAATACCTAAAAACATCTTTTTAAAAAAACAATTTTAAGAAAAATCATTTTTAAGACAAAAATCTAGTCTGCGTCACCAAAGATTCGATTAAATGAATTCGAGAGTCGATTACGCGTGGGGGTGTGCGTGGGGAATGATTAACACCCCCACATCGCCCAAATTTTGTTACCTAAACGATTATACAATGTTTAAATATTGGGAATTACAAACTTGAAAATATATTCAAATTATGATCCTTTTATTCATTTGACTTTATTTAAATAAGTGTGAACAATCCTCGGGAAAACACTTCCTTTATAGTTAGGAGACTTTCCCATAGATTCCCCTCATAAAAACATTATTTTGCAATCTTCTTAAATATAAAATAACACAACATAAAAGTGAAAAGCGATGAAAAATACTCAAAATAAATAAACATGGAACAAATAAAATTATCGAATATGAAACAAAATTTATTAGATAAATCCTCGAAAAGGCACTTTCCCTTGTATTTGGGAAATGTCTTCTTATATTTCCCTCATAATGAAAAATTCTCATTTTACATATATAAAAAATACCAATGTGCACATAAATAAGGAATAAAATGAAAACATCTAAATATTACAAATTGGACAAAAAATAGTATTTGGTAATTACAAGAACCAAAATAGCAAAAACAGAAACTGAAAGGACTAAAATGGCATAAACAAAAATTTAAAAGACTATAATAGCACAAGCAAAAACTTAAGGGACTAAATAGAAAAAACATACATTTAAAGGACTAAAATAGTAAAAATTGAAATTTAAGGGATTAAAATAGCAAAAATAGAAATTTAAAGGATCAGAATAGCAATTATAAATAAACCAGAATCCATATAGAAAATATTAGATAATACAGGTACTAAAATGAAAATAACACACAAATAATATAAATGACTGAAATGAATTAAACAGAAACATAAAGGACCAAATATTAATTAAACTAAATAACAAACAGTGACTAAAATAGAATATTTGTTAATATTGTTGACAAATTTTAACATTAATAAAAGTGAAATAACTAACCAAATAAGGACTGAAATAAAATACCCAAGAAAAATAGACTACTAAAATATAAATAGACTAAAACATAATGACCTAGGCTATAAATAAAAAGGAAAATAAGTTGCATTAATGGTTAAAATAGAAAGGTACAAAGTACAAAGGACCTTTCGAGTAATAAACCCACGCGCGAAAATGCTTTCAAGGTCCCCATAAAAACGACGTCATTTTAATAGATGTATATAAGCCCCAAACGAACCCATTTCTCACCCATTTCCTCATTTATTTTCCGATGGAACTCCATCGTGCCGGCTGCTGCTGACCGGCGATGACCGTCGTCTGTCGACGACGGAGGAGAGCGAAGAAGACACCACTTGAAGCGTTTCCTCCTCCCCAACACGAATTCGATGTCGGATTTTCGATATGGGGGCTAGATCGAAGCAGATCTAAAGAAAAGGGTAAGTTTTCCCCCTTCTCCTCCTTTCTTTTCTTTTTCTTCGATATTTGTTTTTTTCTTTTCGGTTCCTTTTTCCCGAATGATTTCTCTTCTTTTTCTATATTTTTCTTTGTTGCCACTCAATGTTCTCCGAATTCCCCTTTTTTTTCCTCATCGAATGCCTCCTTTTAAAATGGTGATTGCATGTTCCTTTTTCTTTTTTGTTTGGTGAGATGATGATGGGTTTAGATGAAATCATCCTGAGTTTTTTGGGGTTAGGATTGCTTTTCTTTTTGCTTTTGACTTTGGTGATGATTCGGTGGATGTTGAATGTTTTGGGTGCATTGTTCGTAGGTGGATGATGATGAGGACTGTCGGTGGTGGCTCGGTAGCGGCTCACGCGTCGGTTGGAGGAACGCGTGCCTCACACGCGTCGGTGGACTGCTCGAATTCCGCTTGTTGGCGGTGCTGAAAACAATTTAGGGTTAAAACCCTAATTTCACTTATGGGCCAGTTCGAGTCTTCTCTGGGTCGGGTCAAATCTTGTAAACGGGTCGGGTTGTTGGGTTTGTGTTTGCTTGAACTTGTATTGGGTCTCAGTTGGGCATCTAGAGTAGCTTGCAAACATGTAATAATAATAATAATAATAATTTTTAAGTCCGGACAAAAACGAGTGTCTACACTTATGTTTCCACTTCGAAGTCGAACATCAAGTTAATGGTGTGTTTTTAAATTTCTTCGGTTTTAATGAAACAGCTGGAGTTTGGAGGATTAAAGCTCTCGAGGAATCAGGCTGGCCTGAAAGGACAACTGTAGAGGACATGGACATAGCCGTTCGTGAACATCTCAATGGTTGGAAATTCATCTACCTTAATGATGTAAAGGTGCCATTTTAATTTCCTTTTGCTTGTATTGACTTCATATAATTTGGTTCCCTTATTTTCACCCTTGCATGTCATGCATGCGACGTTAAGCGAATAACCCCTCGGTGGAAGATTCAAGGAGTGTCCTAACAGCTGTTAGTTACTGTATGGAACTTTAGGTCCATTGTGAAATCCCGGAGTCGTAGGAAGCATATAGGAAGCAGCAACATCGCTGGCATTCAGGACCTATGCACCTCTTCCGCTTATGCCTTCCGGCGATCATAACTTCCAGGGTATACGTCGTTACACAACTTTCAATCTTTGGCATTTATGATCTATTTACGGTAGACTGAAGTACTTTTAATGCCGTAACTCTGCAGATAGCGATATGGAAAAAAAGCTAATTTAATATTGCTATTCTTTGCCGTAACTCTGCAGATAGCGATATGGAAAAAAAGCTAATTTAATATTGCTATTCTTTTTGTTGAGGAAACTTATCCTCCCCTTCTACTCCTTCACCGGTTTTCATGTCATTCCTCAACATTCTTCCAGCCCTCAAATCATTCCCTTTCATTGTTCCTTACCTTCTATTTGAAAACACCATGTCCGTGACCAAATTCAATGCGATTGTATCGGGACTATTCAAGTTGGGTAGCTCGTATGAGTGGGTTGTGACCAAAAAGGCTGGCAGGTCTTCGGAATCTGACTTACTCGCTTCTGACGATGAGCCAACTGCAAATTCAGAGAGGAGCTTCAGAAAGCGAGCTCACTGAATTAAACCGATTAAAGGAACAGAAAGAGGCGGCTTCAGTATCTGTTTAGAGGGTCAATAAGATATACAGGAATGAGCTGACTCTGGCATTCCTCCTACTTACAGCTTCGGTTCGGAGCCTGTTAGCAGCACAGGGAGTACATTTTTACTTCCTCCTCTTCCAGGGTGTGTCTTTTCTCCTAGTTGGTCTAGATCTAATCGGGAAGCAGATGAGCTAAAGCCGTCCGAAGCTAGAGAGAAAACTGAAGGTGATAAAACTAAGTATTCTTTGTGTCCACCGACAAAAAGCTGGTTTCCGGCTGTGCAGTTCTCGGCAAATGGTTAAGGGTACCATTCCAGGTGTTCATTAACCAAAGTTTCATCTTCTACATCGGCATCAAGATGCCCGATTGAAGGTTTTAATTCACCAAAGTTTCGGTTCATCTTGATAGGATCGTTTTTCTAAATCTAGGTTCAGGTCAGATTTTTTTAACGATGTAAACGAGTTCGAGTTTAGGGTAAAAAAATATGAACTGAGGAAATAATATAGTTGTCTCTTATATATTTTGGGATAATTACAATAACATTCTCTCATTATTTTTTAATTAAATTTTTATTTTATCAAATGAAAATAAATATTTTGTAAATATATATTTGTGTCGGTTGGATCATGTGTAGACTTTTAACCCATAATTGATTCAAATTTTGAGTTAAAACAAATACGAATTTAGGAATATAATTTTTGAGTCAAATTTTGAAAAAAAAACAATTCAATTTATTACGATGTGTATTTTGAAGATGATAACTGAAGTTATAATATGATAAGGCCTAAATTGAGAAATATCTTAGAAACTACTTATACATCAATACATGTAAAGTACATGTAGATCTTTTGTCACATGGCAACCATGTGGTGGTTGTTAATCATACTAATGACATTTTCTTCTTAATGATTTTGACTCCATCAAAAATTTATGTTGGATTGGAAGGGATATATCTACCATTCTTATGTTTAATAGTAAGTTTCAGGGATGGAGTCATGTAGGTCTTGGGGCCACTGTCCCCCTCCCAAATATTTTTACCATTAAATAAAGATAATTACCTATTTAGGCTTTTAAATTTTGATTTATTTTGATTTCTCTCATTTTCAATTTCCCTCTTGAATTAAATTCCTAGCTCCATCCCTTATAGATATATTTTGATTTGGTTCATATCATAAATGAATATTAAAATTTTATTCAGATAAAGGAACAAAATTGGAAAACTTTAAATATACAATCTTAAACTCACCTTCTACATAGGATTGCAATATCATTATGAAATACCTATTGTTTAATAAGTTTTTTTTAATAATCTGAAGTAAGTACAAGTTAGTATATATTCGAAGATAACTCTCAACCTTTCAACATTAAACACTCACACTTCTGGCATCTATGATGCTCGAACCCGGGTCCTCAGAAATAATAATAATTCATTTACTACGAAGACCATTTAATTCGCACGACTGATTAATAAGTTGATATGTGCAGATATGTAGGGTTGTAAAATCAGGTATTCAGACAGATTTCAGTCGCATCTTGGCAGGTCGGGTAAAATCGGGTACATGTCAACTCAGGTTGATTTGACACCAGATCCAGATCGGGTTCATGTCAGGTCAAATAAGTTCGGGTTATTTTCAGGTTGATTTGACACCAGATCCAGATCGAGTTCAGGTTAGGTCATTTTCAGTTCGGATCGATGTCAGTTCAGGCCTGAAGCAGATTAAGACCAGGTTAATTCAGGTTCGGGTGGACTTTAGTCGGATCTCGTTCAGATCATGTCACATCATTGACAAATAAAATCCAGGTCGTATGTTTACCGGATACGGATTGAGTTCAGGTCGGGTCGTTTTTATTTTTGGATTAATTATTTTGTCATTTTTCGTGATTGTTGAATTGCAAGTTGTAATTGTATATGATTTCGAGTAAATTACAAAAAAAAATCATGGATCAATTTTGTAAAAAATATAAATTTAAGGAAAAAATTGAAGAAATGTAAAATTACAAATAAAATTTTAAAATATAATTTAAACAACACACATAAGTAAGGGGCCAAATTGAAATAAATTTAAAGTGTGATGTTTAAATTAATATAAAAAATGACTAAGTTATACCCATTTAAAAAGTCATGAGTCAGTTACAAAAATATAAATAACAACTAACAATTGGCCAAATGAAGATGCAAATATAAATTTAAGGACTAAATTGAATGCATATAAAAGTGAAAGACTTAAAATTAAAATAAATTAAAAACACAAAAGGATGAAATCGAAATAAATGCAAAATGTGAAGAAATAATGAAAATATAGTAAATTACATTCATTTAAAAAATTAAAAAAATAATATATATAATATAAGTTTATATATAAACTATATATATAAACTATGTATATAAACTATATTTATATTATAAACTATATAATTATTATAAGCTATATATATAAATTATGTTTATATGAACTATATATATAAACTATATATGTAAAATATATATGTAAACTATAAAAAGTATATAGTTTATAAACTATAATTTATATTAATATATATATATATATTATTAGTGAGTGGTGGGAGAACACTTTTTAAAAGAAATATTTTTTTGTGTGAAATTTTTTTATTTTATTTGGGAATTTAGAGGGAAATTGGGAAATTTTGAGAATATAGGGAAATTGAGAATTTAGAGGGAAATTGAGAAATTTAGGGTCCGTTTGGTTCGCTGAAAACGTTTTCCGAAAAATGAAATCTGGAAAATGTTTTACACTATTTGAGTAATTTTCTTAAAAACTGTTTTCAGAATATGTTTTTAATGAAGAAGTTGTACATATTGGATAAATTTTATTATTTATTATTTTTAAAGGTTCATTTTTTATATATAATTATATTTTATAAAAATCTGTATTTTAGATAATATTAATAATTGATTAAAAATATATTATAAAAGTTTATAAATCCTAAGAATGTTTAATTAATAGTACACAAAATTAAAACAACAATAGTACATAACCAATTGAATTAAGAACAAGTACTCTGTCCGAATAGACAAATATCATTAATCTAAAGATTTTTCGAACTAGTGAAAAATCGGTTGATTCATTAAAGACTAGTAAAAACTGATTGGCAGGGAAGTAAAAGTTTCCTTTCATTAAACAACAATGATAGTAGCAAGATCACAACTTAGAAACAATAAGGGTATCTTTACATCAAACTTCTAATACAATTTGGTCAAAAGGGTTATGGAAGTTTGAGGAAATGAGTGATCAATCAGTACAACTATGGCTAATGCTAATATCTGGTAGAACATGAAATTCAACAAACCAAGGATTCCTGAACGTGCTATAAAGTCACCCAGCTTTAGATGAATCAGTTGACTGTTGTTGCAAGTTCTTCCCGAGAAAATCAGACAATTTGGTGGTAGTAAAAATAATCATCCACTGGAAGAAGGATTCGAATAAAGAATATATTAGAAACAAATATTTCATCACAGATTATTTAAGCCCAACTAATACTTCAAGAGGCCAAAAATAAACATCATAGTTGTTACAACACCCAAATTCCATGCAAGAAAGACTTCAAAGGCAAGCAACTTCATTTCATTGAAGCTGGTATCAATTCCAAGTTCTTGGTCCAGAAATGCCAATGAAAGTGATGCATTCAGTTTATCTGATAGTAGCCTAATGAAAGCCAATGAAAGTGATGCATTCAGTTTATCTGATAGTAGCCTTAAACCCTCAAAAACATGAAAATCTTTGCAATTACATGTGACTGCAGCCACAAAGTAAACTTAAAATAAAAAGGAAAGACTAATAGACAACAATGAATAGGTTCACCTTGCACACTTGGTGATCCTTCAGGAAGGACTGAATGGACCGAGTTTGGGAAGACTAAATATGCAAATGCCTTCATTTTGTGTTATTATGAAAGACATCAATGTCAGCAAATAGGATCTAAACAAAATTTACAAGAAACCAAGGTAACTCAATTCATTCCTATATAATGCAGCACTGAGTTGTAAACAACTGCAGTCAATGTAACATCCTCCATGTCGGGTGAGTGATTGATTTGCAAAGTTTCAACATTTGGGGATTAAAGTAGAATGATTATATAGTTTAAAAATAAAGGTTAGTAAATATGAAATGAAGGTAGGGACCAAATGGTCATTGGTAAGGAAAATTTAATTAAAATAAAATGTTATGGGGTATATGATACCCACGTGTGATTTTAGGTTCCAGAACCTCCCATTTCTTCTTCATTCTTCCTTACTTTCTCCTCTTCCTCCTCCAACCGTGGGCTTGCAATTATAGGTAAGAAACTGAACTTGGTAGTTTCTTGGATTGTTAAGATGGAAATGAAAGTTGGTATGTTATATAAGATAAAGGAAACCTATATGACATTAAAACAACAAGATAAGTGATTTAGAGAATGATTTGGAAAATGAGTTTTAGATGAAATCTGATAGGAATGAGTTTTGATGTTTGAATCAGATTTTTGACTTGTCAATAAGCTAATTAAGAAGTATGAAGTAATAGAATTGAAATTAGAACAAGTTAAAATTGGAGTAAGATTCTTCAATTCTATATGGATGAGGAGTTTTCTTAGTTTTAGAGGTATTGAATGGTTAATAATTAGTTAAGTAAGTGTATGAGAGCTAAGAGTGTTAAAGGGATTGAAATAAGTATGTTTGAGCTGAAATTAGATGATTTCCGGGCTCAAAATAGGATTTCTGGGTTAGGGGAATCGGTACCCATTCAAGGGGAACCGATACCCCTTCAACGAATGAATTCCAGAATGCAAGAGGGGAATCGATACCCCCAGGGGGGGAACCGATACCCCCTCATCGTATATGAAATTCCAGATTGCTTGAGGGAATCGATACCCCCAGGGGGGGGAACCGATTCCCCCATGAGAAAAAGAAAGAAAGAAAAGAAAGCAAGACTAAGCTATAAATTCTTTAAATTAGTAAGCTATTAAAGCTTAATTGCAAGACATAGACATCTGATGATCATCTTAAAAATTATGTTTATGTAGATACGAGCCTACTCGAGTTCGGGAACAATCTACAAGTAGGATCGATCGAGGAAAAGGCAAAGAAGTATAGGTGAGTGCATATGCATAGCATAAATATAGTAGTATATTCAGTTCTAGACTTGTGCTAAGTCTAGATTCCATATTTGACATATGATTACATTCCATATTATGATACATGACATGAATTTGTATTAAATGTATTACATGACATGAATTCATATTGTATGTATTACATGACATGATTATGCAGAAAAGTTATATGCACTATGTGATAAAGGTATGTAAATGATATGCCTATGTGTTTAAAGGTATGGAAATACTATGTCTACGCGATATGAACTACGGGAAATGTATAAGCCCATGTTAGGTAGATGAGAACTATCGGTATAGTTGGCATGCCAAGGGTAGAGGGTATACTCGCAATAAACTTATTAATACTGAATAATGAATGTTACAGTCATACGCTTACAGGTATGGATATTGATGAAGTATACTACATTGATTAGTTACATGTTTGCATCTCATCTCATATGATCCTGACATTTTCATTACATTACATTGCCTTATTATTGTTGCCTCACTAAGTCGATGACTTAGGTGTGAGTGTTTCACACGTAGGATCGAGGAAAATAGAAGAGACAGGTGAAGCAGCTTGATACTACATTGATTAGTTACATGTTTGCATCTCATCTCATATGATCCTGACATTTTCATTACATTACATTGCCTTATTATTGTTGCCTCACTAAGTCGATGACTTAGCGTGTGAGTGTTTCACACGTAGGATCCGAGGAAAATAGAAGAGACAGGTGAAGCTTGACAGTATTACTCCTGCAACCATCAGATCAGAAGCAACTTATCAGTAGGTTATTTTGTTATGTAAATAGCAGTTGGCATGTAATTAAAGAGTTAAGTTGTGTATGCTCTGAATATTTTTTTTGTAAACTTATATTACAGTATGTATATTATTGTATTTTCTTAGTACAAGTCCCAATATTTTACTATTATTTATTAAGAGTTGTGTTTTAAAGTCAATGTAGTATCTCTGACTCATATCCGGGTCGGGTATGGGTTGGGGGTGTTACATTTAATGGTATCAGAGCTATGGTTTAGCCGATTCTAGGCATAAACCAGAGTCTATGGAGTCTTTAAATGGAATACATGCCAACAAATAGTGAGAACTTCTGATCTGGTATAGTATGAGTATGCTGTTTTGTTAATAGGATAATGTGTTTATTCTTATTAGATGTCCGGACATAATAGCTCCCGAAGTGAAGCGGGAGAAGATAGGCATGCTAAAGCAGTAATTCACCTGCCCTGGCCAGGCAAGGTGAAGAACAGGCATCTCAAGGAGTGCCTGTGCAAGATCAAGATACGTTCTTCAGAACGTTAGACGCTATTCTGACGCGTCTTCAACCTCCTGCTCCACTAACTCCAAGAATTAATGTAGCAAAAGAGTTGAGAAGTTTAGGAGCTCCCGAATTTAAGGGAGAAGCTGAGGAAGGTCCGGTGTCAGCGGATCTTTGGTTGAATGATTTGAAAATCATGTTAGATGGTCTCCACTGTTCCGAAGTGGAGAAATTAGATGGAGCTGTGTCTTTATTAAGGGGTCAGGCGAGGATATGGTGGACGAATGTCACCATGAGGATGTCAACCGACCGGTTGACTTGGTCTTTGTTTTTAGAAGAATTTAAAAACAAGTATATTGGAGATCAGTTTATCCGACAAATGAAGCATGAATTTATGAATTTGAAGCAGATGAGCCGCTCTGTGTATGAGTACGAATGTGAGTTTAATAAGCTGAGCAGGTTTGCAGCTGAGCTTGTGCCTACTGAAAAAGATGCTTGCGAGTGGTTCGTGGAGGGCTTGCGCCCTAGACTTAAAGAAATGTTGATAGTATTAAACCTGTCCTCGTTCCAGGAGGTGATCAATCGTGCAAAAGCTCTTGAAAGGTCTCAGAATGAAAGATTTGGGGACTCGAGAGTTCAGACATCAAAGAGGACGACTACTTATTCTGGTTCAACACCAACAAAAAGGGGAAGAGACTCGGGATTTCGGTCACAAACTAGATCAGAATCAGTTGCATCGTCTGCTAGGGGAGCAAGTCAGGCAAGACCTAGACAGACGCAGTCAGTAGAATCTGGTGCTGGGAGACTCTCCGGGTCAAAGGAAACATTGTGAGCACTGCGGGAAAAACCATTATGGGGATTATCGTATGGCAGCTGGGACTTGTTTTCGATGCGGGGATGCCGGACATTTTGTCCAGGATTGTCCCTTGATTGTTGGTGAGCCGGCACCATCTGGAAGAGCTGGTTCTTTCTCACAAAGGGGACGAGGAAGAGGCAGAGGAAGGAACCCGTCTGAATTCTCTGCTCAACCTGAAGTTCGATCCACTGCTCGAGTATACAACCTAAAGACAAGTGAAGACCGTGATGACCCTGATATTATAGCAGGTACTTTTCAGTTGTATGATAAATTAGTATTGGTACTGATTGATCCGGGTTCTAATTATTCTTATATTACAAGTAAGTTAGTAAAGGAGTTGGGGATTCCCTTAGAAGCTACGAGTAATGAGAATATAGTAACAACTCCGTTAGGCCAGAGTGCCCGGGTGAATAAAGTTTGTAAGGGGTGTCCCATAAAGATTCAGGGAATTGAATTCCCTGCTAATCTGATGGAATTACCCTTTGACGAGTTTGAAGTGATTCTGGGAATGGATTGGTTGTTCCGGTATTATGGAGATGTTAGTTGCAGATTGAAAAAGGTAACTCTGAAAAGTCCAGACGGAATAGAGATAAGTGTGAACAGTGAAAAGTTTAATCCGTTAGCGAATGTAATATCAGTGATGTCTGCCAAGAAATTATTGCTACAAGGATGTCAGGGTTTTCTGGCAAATGTGATTGATTCAAGAGCTCAAGAAAAGGTTAGAGGAAATTCCAATAGTTTGAGAGTTCCCTGATGTTTTTCCTGCTGAATTGCCAGGATTACCTCCGGATAGAGAGGTAGAATTCCAAATAGAAATAATACCGGGAACAGCTCCGATTGCAATGGCACCTTATCGAATGGCTCCGAAAGAATTGCAAGAGTTAAAGAATCAATTACAAGAATTGCTAGAGAAGGGATTTATCCAACCAAGTGTATCGCCTTGGGAGCTCCGGTGTTATTTTAAAAAGAAGGATGGATCAATGCGTCTTTGCATTGACTATCGACAGCTCAATAAGGTGACCATCAAGAACAAGTATCCCCTTCCGCGCATTGATGAC